TGTGTGTGTGTGTGTGTGTGTGTGTGTGTGTGTGTGTGTGTGTGTGTATATATATATATATACACACATAACTGCAACTTGGAAAGGGGCTAAAGAAATGTATCCAAATTACAGGTAATATACTCATCAACAAGGGAAATGGGATTACCATTCAATTCCTTGCAGAGAAATGACTAATCAAATTATTTCAGAAATTAATTTTTAAAGGGAAAATAAAATGCAAACTTGAATTGGTAAAATTAGTTTATAATCATATAAGGTACCAAGTATTTACTATGTCACTATAAATACAATATAGTTAAAAGGAATACCTTGTCTGTAGGGCACATAACAGTTCTCATGTCATACTTCCTGACCTTTTTCCATGAGCACTATTTACCATATTTGCAAGAACTAAGAAAAGTAAAATATTTCACATCATGGAATCGCAGATGAATATTATCTTGCATAAAAATACATATTTTTGATTGTATTTCAGGTATTTTGATTATCTGAGAGTGTATAGAATCTGGTTCATTTAGTATAAGAATGGTCAATAGTGTTCAACTCTCACATCTCCTTGATGGTCTGGAGCGCAGGGTTGAAACCTTTAGCTGATCTCAGAGCGGAAGCATGTCACGATCACTTAGCAGTAACTGAAACAGGAAGGAGAAAGTCATGGTGACATTTACTCCACATCTTTACATCTGTGTATCCCTCCACGGGTCTAACTGACTAATTTATTGTTAAAATCACAAATTTAACTTAATTCGTAGTCAGAAAATTTTTCCTGCCTTTTAAGATTAGTGATGGAAGGAAATGAAAAGGATCAAAGGCTAGATGTCATTGTGTTAAAGAAAATAAATAAATAAAGTAAAATGGCTTGCAGTGTCAGAAAACTTACTGCAGGGATTCACACAACACACAAGTAACCTGTGGTCTGACTGCGGGTCATGACCTTTTTATATCCCTCTCTGCACCTATACCTTTTTATGAGCTCATCACGGGCCTGTTGCCTTTGGACTTGCCGTATGACTTACTTTCCCCAGCGATATGTGGGCAGAAGTCAGAATGTTCCAGCTCCAAGCTCCGGCTGTAAGGCTTGCTTCCTTTCACACCCATCAACATGAGGAGGACATTCCACAGCTACCCTCTTGTAGGGAACAGGGTGGGGCTGGGGAGGGGGGAATGCTACTTCCCCCCAACAGGATCTGACTCTCTAAAAGTAGTGGCTGAAATACTAAGATGCTATGGAGAGCTTTTCATAATCTCATGGGACTGGAGGGAAAAAAACTGGCGTCCATATGCTGCCAAGGAAGAAAACGGCCTAATAATGGTGCCCTTTCAGTGAGAACCACGTGGGTCTACACCCTGACACTAGCGTGAAATAGACTCTCCTTTACAAAGACTGAAGTTCAGCTTCAAATAGGTTCATTCAATGATTGCATTGAGGGGGTCTTCCCTACCCTCATACTTTCCAAAAGCAAAAGCATGTTCTCTCTGGAGAAAGAGAATATTAAATCGTCAGGCTGCAAAGCGATCAAGGGAATTCCAAAGAGTGAGGAGACCAGTCGGGGGAGATGGGGAGACAAACAGACTAACGGCTTCGCCTTTGACGGGGAGTGGGAGAAAGAGGTGACTGCCATCAAAGCGGGGAGGAGAAAGTCAGATAAAATCTGCGAAAGTCCTAAAGGCCGGTATGAGCTAGAGCATCAGTTCAGAATAACTGGAGGTCCCCGGTGCAAGCTGAGTTGCACTCACCTGTCAGATCTTCTCCTCAGGCCTCAGTCGGGGGCTTAGGAGAAAGAGGGGGGCAAATCAGACATAGTCCCCCTTAGTGGCTCAGGCACATAGGAGGCACTTGGCTACTGAGAGCTGACAGGCATGCAACTCTGTATAGGTCCCTGAATCCTTCTCCCAAATGGAGCACAAGCCTTCGGCTACTCGTAGAGAGGAAATACATATCCTCACCCCCAGGGACAATGGGGAGGGAGTAAAAGCAAAGCCCATCTGCTTCTAGGGAGGGACAGATAACCCTCCTTCCTGCCCACAGAGCTGGGAGAAGGGAAGAAGCAAAAGCTACCAGCCCCTGGGGGTGGGCAGGAAAACATCTTGGGCTCCCATCCTGAGCCAGAACGAAGCCCAGATCTGCCGCTGAAGAGGTGCTTTCTCTCTTACTCAGCACCCACCCCGGATATAAAGTGGAGTTTGGCTGCCTCAGAGCGGGGTTGAGGAGAGGGAGACACACAAGTCTCCCCTAAAAACCAGATTCCCGCAATCTGGGAGATCAGATGATAGGACAGTCGTACACTGGGGTACTATACAATAATTCAAATGAACCATACACAGCGAAGTGGATGAACCATACAATGTAATGACGACTGAAAGTCACACATGAATATCACAGGATTCTAATATTTATAAAAGTTTAAAGACCAGCAAAGGTAATCTATGCTACTAGAAGTTATGAGAGAGTTTTCTTCAGGGAAAAGGAAGTAGTGACAGACAGGAGCCATGAGGGAGATTTCTAGGAAGCTCACAATGTTTCTTTTATGCTAATTATGCTGATGTGCAAATTTGCTGGTACAAAACAGTAAATTGCACATTTCTGCTGTCAGGTATATAATCTAAATAAAAAGAAACTATACACTAAGAATCCACAGCAGTGCTTTCTAATACGAACAAAATTAAGAGGGGAAAATAAACTGAAATGACTTGTCCACACATACGTAGGTGTTGTATAATTGGATTATATTTTCTAACTTCACTTGGACACTTTCATTTATCTTTTTATTTTACCCCTGGAGTTTCCTGCCCCATTTACCACCCCCAGCCATCATATTTTGCAACATGTTAAGTCTTTCTCTGAGATATGCACTAATGCTGCTTTAACCCACAAGTATTTTTAGAAGCAACGTCAGGGACAAGCGGATGAGGAAGGTGGACACAAGGAATAAATAATCTCACAACAGGAAATGGGTAAAAACCAAAGTCTGCAAAGCAAGCAGCAGGGGACTGAGATGGGCTAGATTAAGGATATGCATTTGGGGGTCCACAGAAACACCCACAGAGTCTGATGACTCAGCGTGATGGTTCACAGTGGATGCCTGCTAATGCCACGCCCATGGCAGATCCTCGGACTCCTCAGTCGGTACTATTCCACAGGGGTGTGCCCCAGAGCAATCTCCACCAGCACGTGCCTAAACGCTGGCAGCGATCTGTAGCGACACATAGCTCCCATCCCAGCATTTCATGCCTTGACAAGACCTTCCAAAAATATTAAACAGCTACATCCTAAGAACACTTTGAAAGCTCACCCTTGGAAAACAACAAATCAATACAGCTGACAACACCCTCCAGTTACTGGTGATTCTAACCACTAGTAACAAAGTGACAATCTATACAGTATACTTCTCTTAGCTTAGGTCACATGATATTTTTAATATGTAAGAACAAAATAGTTGAAAATGAAGTATTTTTACCAGAAAATCTGACTATATGAAAAGTAAAAATAGGGCTTCCCTGGTGGTGCAGTGGTTGAGAATCTGCCTGCCAGTGCAGGGGACACGGGTTCAAGCCCTGGTCTTGGAAGATCCCACATGCACCGTGATGAAGACAGTGGCTCCCACTCGCTGCAACTAGAGAAAGCCCTCGCACAGAAACGAAGACCCGACACAGCCAAAAATAAATAAATAATAAAATTTAAAAAGGTACTATAGTCGTGTCATAGGTACTACGTGAAAGCGCACTAAACAGAGGGAGCAGCAAAAGCAGAGACTCTGACCCGGAAGCACTCCGGGGAGCCTTGAGAAAGAGAAAAATCGATCAAAGTATATAAACATGTGTATTCAAAGGTCAGGGTCACAAACATATCACCATGCAGAGAGTCAGGGTAGTTTTCTTGAACTCCTCTTTGTCCTATTCAGAAGTTTGTTAATTTTCTTAATAGAAATCTATTGCCTATAGTAATTTTTTTAAAAACCTAAAAATATCATGTTGAAAATCAGTGTTTAAAATTTGAATACACTATATGCTCAGAGTGATGCAAAAAATTCTAGTGAGCACATATAGTTAATATATTAGTATTTACTATACGTGCTCATTAGAAAGCATTTGGAAATTGCAAAGAAAAACAAAATGGAAGTTTTTTTTTAAGCAGCCACTAGCCCACTGACTTGAGATCTTCTTCCTCTGTCTAGTATCCATAATTCTAAATGAGCACTATTTTCACTGATATGTACAGCCATAGATTATCAAGGATAAATATACTTTCAAAAATCTCTAAATCGGTGCATCTCAAAGTGTGGTTCTCGGGTCTCTTGCATCAGAATTAACTGAGAAACTTGCTAAAAATGAAGATTCCTGGATCACAATCTAGGGCCAGTGGATCTTGGGGTGGAGTCTGGAAACCTGCTTTTTAACATCATTTCCAGATGATTTAAATAGCACAGCAAAGCTTGAGAACTACTTACTCAGTTCAACAATAGCAAAGATGTTTATCAGATAAACTGCCTCTGGTAACTTCTACTGACCAGATTAATCTCTTAAATTTCAATCATTCCTAAATTTACCTTTCATGTGCTTGGCTTGGCATTATATCTCAGCATCCCCAACATATGTCAAATCCTAATGCTCTTAAAAGCTTAGATGATAAAATAGGTCACAAGGTACAGTATTAACCTATGTTAAAATCCTGGATTAGATAGCAAATAGAAAAGAATAAGGTCATTATGGTTGTTCTAGTTTGGACTCACAGAATGACCACTTATACCAGTATGAATTCCAATTTGATCAGCAAAACAAAGGATTATAGGTAAGACGGAGAAGACCAGAACACTAATTCAAAGATGTGGCAAAGTGAATGCAGTTATTTCATCATCCATCTATATACTTAATCTATCATTCATCTAGATATTTATTCTTATACTTCCTACATTTTAACCACCAAAGTGAAAATTATATGGATTTGAATTATGAAATTAGATTTTCAAGGCGCCTGAAGGATTACAGAATCTCTTGACCTGCAATGTGGAAAAGATTTTTAATTTGATCAAAGATGTAATACACTTTTCTTGAACAATAGGGTCATTCATTTACCTTCAATTAACCATTCTGAGAGACTCAGCCAAAGAGAAATAGAAGAGTGAGATCACGTATTTTTCACCCATAAACTAAGAAGAGGTAAATATTCCACTGAAAGAGACATTATGAAAGTAAACATGTGAACATTGTCATAATAAAGATGCAGGATTATTTTTATAATAGGGTATGGCAAAAATAAGTAGCTTTATTTTTATAAATAGGATCATTCCTCATGAAGGAGGACTTGAGAAGCTATGGCATGAATTGTTCTGTAAACCTGAGGATGCCTGTCCCCCTTCGAATTCATCTGTTCTGTAAGTTGGACTTTGTATATGAGTTTTTCAAGTAGGGTGGGTCTTTATGTTATCTGTGTCTGAAAATCAGGATTCTCATTTGGCAGAAACAGTCAGTTAGACTGGCATTTTCATGTTCTGGGCCAAGGGTATTAAAATTTATTTTTGTCAAGGGCTTCCCTGGTGGCGCAGTGGTTGAGAGTCCGCCTGCCGATGCAGGGGACACGGGTTCGTGCCCCGGTCCGGGAAGATCCCACATGCCATGGAGCGGCTGGGCCCGT